ATTCGCATCAACCCTTTTTCGCACAAGTCAAAAACCACCTCAAGCGAGCGTGAAAACTATTTCGCGAATTAAGGGATTTTTATTTGAAATTTGGCGTTTCCATCACTCGTTTCTCATGCAATACTTCAAAATGCGCATTAAAATAGGGTGATGGAAACAGCTAGTGATGTGAATTTGCGTGTGGCGGCTGATAAGATGTCAGCTTACAGTCGGCAGAGAGACGAGCGCGTGCTAATCCTCATCCTGACTGACGCGTCACTGCATCACTGCATTACACATGTGTGTCCACCTGCAGCCGGACCGGACCGGACCGGACCACCTGCTCCTGCTTCCCTCTCTGTAATCTCCAGCGCTGCTGCAGCTGCGGTCCTGAGAGCACGCCTCATTTCCCAGGACAGCAGCTCCTCGCTCATCTTTAGACAGCGTGACGTTACAGACAAAACCACTGTTTTCTTATGCAATTTTGTGCTATTTTGCTTCCATAACACACAAGTCTTCATTCAGATTAGTGGAAAGAAAACATGCAAAATACACATTTAGGTGTTTCTTTTATGACACTTTATCTGTTTGCATCTGTAGATTTCAATTACAATTCATATCTTTAAAGGCAGTGAGTTTATTTCTCCACTTCAGCAGCACTTATAGCAAACTTTACAGTTTTAGTCCTGTTTATATTCTGAAGGTTTGTTCATATATAATGATTTTATACAATATTTTATTCCTAAAAATATGGTGAAAATGTGTTTTCTGTCTGTTGACAGCATTTTCTGATTTATGCAGTGATAAAAACAGAAATCCAAAATCCCATCTGGGAAAACTTTTAACTAACAAAATCAAACAAATTTGAGCCCGGCTTTATTCAGTGTTCAGATTTATGTTCTGGAAATGTATGCAACTTGGTGCATTACAGTATCAAATAGGAAAATAGTGTGTCAATGCAAATAGGATTGATTAACTGGGGAATTATGGACATATCTATTAGTCAAAAATGTACCCTATATTACACTGTAGTGTCTTTCCATTTGCAAACAAAATCAAACAATTTTGAGCCCGGCTTTATTCAGTGTTCAGATTTATGTTCTGGAAATGTATGCAACTTGGTGCATATTTAATTAGATAATGCCTCTTTTGCATATTTAAACCTAACATTTCCGAAAACTTACCAAATTTTATGTCAAGTCAAGTCACCTTTATTTATATAGAGCTTTTAACAATACAGGTTGTGTCAAAGCAGCTTTACAGTATTAAACAGGAAAATAGTGTGTCAATGCAAATAGGATTATTAACTGGGGAATTATGGACATATCTATTAGTCAAAAATGTACCCTATATTACACTGTAGTGTCTTGACATTTGCGTGCAAAATACTCAATGACAGTCTGCTGGTTCAATCTCACAGTTACATCAAATATATAGATGTGAATTTAATCAATCAGATTTACATTTCATCTGTTTGTTATGGCAAGTGGTTGCTGGTGCATTACTATGCACTGCAGGACACTGAGGTTTAATTTAAAGTTTGATTCTCACCTTATTTGAATATGATTTATGATTTTAATTCCTTATGCAAATGTTGACATATGACGAGATTTTATCCATGTGCATAACCATTTTAAGTTTCATTACATTACTCTAACATTATCACACTCTCAGTTGCACAAGACTGCAATTGCAAATCCACATAATTTCACCCTTATTCAGTTTTTTTCCCCCCCTGAAAAATATAATTTATATTTCAGGATATAATTTAAACTCAATATTTTAATTCCTTATGCAAATGTTGACATATGACGAGATTTTATCCATGTGAATAACCATTTTAAGTTTCATTACATTACTCTAACATTATCACACTCTCAGTTGCACAAGACTGAAATTGCAAATCTACATAATTTCACCCTTATTCAGTTTTTTCCCCCCCCCTGAAAAATATAATTTATATTTCAGGATATAATTTAAATTCAATAACCACACACTCACACTCACACACACACACACACACACACACACACAAGTGTCTGGCTGCGATTCTAATGACTGTTGATTTGTGCAGCATCTGTGAATCTGCCACTCAAGAGAGGAAACCACTGCAATGCTCCACTGCGCTCAGCATCGATTCACACACAGAGAGAATGAGACATGACATAAATGAGACATGCTCATGACATAAAAACTGAAACTAAACAGACTAACGAAGAAGAAAGAGCTTCTGTGATGAAAAATATCAGAAAAGATCCCATTCAACAAAAACAGCCCCTAATGTGATAATTGGCAAGTGAGGATAGAAAAATAAACTTTAAAGTTTGTAATAAAGTGTATCTATTTATATATATATATATACAGGTGTGTGTATATATATTTTTTTTTTCTGAAAATAATCTTGTGACATTTTCCCTCTGGTTTTATTTCGAGGATGTTTAAAAATAAAAATATATATATTTATTAAAAATATACATACATACATGTATTTCTCATCCTGCTGTCATAGTGCATGAACATCATTACATTGTCTTTGATTTCTTGAAGCACTGCATTCAAAATATCACAAACACATCTCAAAAGCAAACATTTGCAAACACCATTGCCGTAATATTAATTCCTCTTAGATTTTTGAGTGTTACATAGAGAATTGTGTGTTGTGTTTTGCAAAAAGTGTTTTATGAAATTGAATTTTAAGGTTGAGAATCAGCGTATGGTTTTGCAGATTTGGTGCGTGCTTCTGCTGTTTGAGTGTCAGCTTTCAGAAACTGTGCAACAAGAAAAGATTTTGTGTGTAAGCATTTGAAAAAACTGTAAAAATGAAAAAAAAAGAGAATCTTTATAAAACAATTTTTGCCTCCCACTGTCATAGTGCATGCACCTCACTAAATGTTTCTCTATTTCTCTGAAAACAATCATTTTTTTCTCAGGTTTTATTTTCAGGACATTTAGATATTTTAACTGCAAAACAAGAAAAAATGCTTTTTGCACTGCATTGGTGAGTTGCATGGGTGTGCCCTTTTAAGTGCACTACACAGTGTGATGTTGAGTTGCAGTATGGGAGCAAAGGATGTGGTTTTGAGTGTGATGGATGCAGAGATGATGGAGACTCACCACATGTCCAGACAGGTGGAGTAGTCTGTGGATCCCAGCAGCACGTCTGGAGGACGATACCAGAGCGTCACCACCTCATTAGAGTACGTGTGGCTGGGGACCGACTTCGCACGGGCCAGACCTGCACCAAACACACACACACACACACACACACTTGTCACTTTGAATAAAAGCATCTGACAAATGCATTATTGTAAATATCACAGTGACAGTCATGGGTTAAACTGAGCCTTCAGTTCAAAAAGAACAGAAAATGATTGTCTGTCAATCCCAGTTTTGTTTGATCCACTCCATGTTTTGTCTCTATTTAGTAAATGTACTCACTCAAAAACACCATTGAAGTTCATTACATTAAATATTATGCCACCATCTTTTATCTATGCATCTTTAAAAAAAAAAAAAAAAGAAAGAAAATTCAGCTTTCCATCACAGAAATAAATTCTATTTTAAAGTATATTAAAATAGAAAACCGTTATTTTTATTATTAACAGTTTTTTCGGTATTTTGATCAAATAAACGCAGCCTTGAGGAGCAGAAGATATGCAAATATAATAATTTCCTAAAATATACAACTATCATGACATATTAAAGTACATAAAAATATAGAATAATATTATATATTAACATGAAAAATATACTACCATGATATATATATATATTTTTTTTTACATAAAATACACAAATATCCTGAAATAATACAACATGATATTATATTTGTATATATTTATACGTGGTGCCCAAAATAGTTAGAACACTTGGCATATTTAAGAACATTTAAGAGCTACCCATCTGCATGTTTCATGAACATTATGAAATTAAATCATGTTTTGGAGGCAAAAAAAGGTCAATATTTTCAAATCCTTCAGGTGTTCTAATAATTTTGGCCACCACTGTATATGCTAAAATATAAGGATATTTGTATATTTTTACGATATTATATTTGTATATCTGTATATATGTTAAAATACATGAAAAATATGCATTACAATATTTTAATATATAGAAATATACAAATATATCATAAAAATATACAATTATCATATTTTAACAAATATACATATAATATACATATTTTTAAACTAGTGCTGTCAATCCATTAAAAAAATAACAAATTAATCGCACATTTTTTCTGAAATTAATCGCTATCAATTTTAACATTTATTAGACTACTTAAAATAACTTCCAATTTGAGTGAACTTCACATAAACCCATTATAATAAATGTCACATTTACCTGTGCCCTTCAGCAAGTAGGAAATATACAGAAATGGAATAAATTGATCAAACACTAAATTCTAAATTAAATATAGATGAATCCTTAAAGCTACAAAAGTTATTGATTTCCTCTTTTTTTCTTTTAATCCTTGATTACCAGACATCACGGCAGCTGGTTATTAGGTTTTTTGTCTGCTGTCCCTTTAAGAGCTGCCGATGCTAAACGTGATGTGGATCTGACACACATCTCTTTACCTATTGTGACCCACTTCAGTTCTTAAAGTCTCTACTATTGAGTTGAATCGGGTGTGTATCATATAACAAATACATACATACACGCACAGTTTTAAGGCAGCTTTAATTGCCTTTTATGGTAACTTCATGACTTAACTGACGACATAATTACGACATTGCATGCTCGTAGTTTCTTTTGCGATTTGATATGAAAAGATACAGGCTACAAGCGCGCGCCGGCGCATTTGTGGTGCAATTGAAGAGCGAGCCTTTAAAACCTAAATATTTTTAACACGTTAAACTGAAAAAATTAATCGCTAATTTTTATACTTGCTAAAATATTTGTATTTATTTATATATGTTAAAGGAGAGATATTATGCCCCTTTTTACAATATGTAATATAAGTTCTGTGAAGGTAAACTGCTGGGAAATAAATCACATGTTTATTTTAGATCTAAATAGTGTTCTGTACTCGTCTGTGCAGACAAAGGCAGAACAGTTTAGTATGTTTTGTTCAAACTTTCACCATGGCATTAGAACTAATATACCGTTGTCGCTTGCGAAAACGCAATAATGGCGCCGTGGGTGGAAACTTACAGATTAAGGGGCGGTAATATTATAATGAGATCTCTTTGCCACGTCACCAAGGGAGCGAAATCAGACGCGCTCGTTTTTCAGACGCTTGCAGAAAAAGGCTTCCCAAAACAAAGTTACTGGGTTAATCTTTTTCACGTTTCCTTGGTTGGTAGACGCACCCTGGAAAAGTCAGATTTTTATGATATGTCACCTTTAAAATATCATGATAGTTGTATATTTGTATGATATTACATTCATATATATGTTAAAATATCATAAAAATATAGAACTGTCATGATATTTGTGGTGGTCTAGATCAGGGAATCTCAAATGTTTTTGCCACCTCTAAAATCCCAGTTTAATCCTGGGAACAGCTTTCTGTCGGTGGACATTTACTTGTAGCATTTGTTAAAGGGGGGTCTAATGCTATTTCATGCATTGAGTAATTTACACTGTTAAAGAGTTGGATTCTCATGCTAAACATGGCCAAAGTTTCAAAAAACGATTTGAATGTAGAATGGAGAATTTCGGTGTTAAATACATTCCTTCCGGTTTCGTACAAGTTTCGGAAAGTTTTTTTCGATCGTGGCTCTTCATGACGTCATGAAGGGAGGAACTGCTTATATGGGCATTTCTCCCGGAAGAGCGCGCCCGCGCACGCATCGACCAGAGCGAGAGCAAGAGCACGCCCTTCAACGAGGACTCGCTCGGGAAGAGTCTCCAAAGAAGTGTGTTTTTGGTTGCAAGGGATTCAGCATCCCAAAAGAACCCAGCGTTACGTAAACAGTGAATGCAGTTTGTTTTTCCGGGGGGGCAACAACGGAGTTTCACAAGTGTGTTTGTTGACGAACGTTTCATAAACACGGCCCAGTTCGGCGCTGGATTTGCACATCGCTTGATACTGAAGGATGGAGCGGTCCCAGCTATAAAAGATCCCGGTCATGATCCGGAACTGCAGACGGTAAGTGAAACGGCATCAAATGTCTCTGTTTTGTTGGCAATCGGCGCTCAAGTGCTCGTGACTCTTTAGCTCCGCCCACGGCGCGCCTCCAGGAGCTCGGCTGTTTTCGGAGAGCATCGTAAAGCTGAATCTTTCTTTTATAAATATGATCAAACTAAAGACTCTTTGGAGATATAAAGGATGCAATACTACATTACAGGTACTCAAGATTAACATGAGATCGGGTGAAACTGTGTGTGTTATGTCCCCTTTAACATCTTCTAAGCTTAACTGATTCAAATTCTGACACTAGCAACAGTGAGGTCATGGGTTCGATTTCCAGGGAAAGCAAGAACTGATAAAAAAAAAAAAAGTGGCCTAACTGTAAATGTTGATCTCAGCTCTTAGAGGAGACTCGTGATGAAACGCAGCGTCCTCCAGGTGCCGAGGCGTTTAATTAACCCGTTTGACTTAAACAGGCTTGACTTCCTGCGCTGGGTGTTTAAAGCGCCCTGTCGGGACAGAAATAGCGGCGCAGCTTCACGCCGGTGTAATTTGCAGTCAGTAATCCTGAGCTAAACAAAGGGAAGAGAGAGTGAGAGGCTATCATTTCCCCGGCGCAGGGCGGTTCACGCGCGATAGAGCCTCTAATCAGCATCACTCTGAGCTCCAGAGTAACAGCAGCGCAGCCGCATCTGAGCGACTAATTGATGGGAGGAAACCATGAGGCGAGGGGTCAGAGAGGTCACTGATGATGAAGGCAATCGAGGAGGAGGAGGAGGATGCCCTGTCCTTGTCCCGGGCCGGTCGTCATGGTAACGGCTCGTAAAGAAGGCCTGTGCCGCTTCAAAGCGCTCCGGATCTCCGCGGGTCTCCAGAGGGGGTCAAAGGTCAAGCTGAGTGAATTATACATCACTCACTGTCTCACAGTCACGTGACAGAACGAGACGAGGAGGCGAGCAGAAAGGATAGAGAGAAATGACAATAGAATTATATCCAAATAAAATCAATATTGCAATATGACTTGATGTGATTGTCTGTGATTTAATGAAATAAATATATATGCTACTGCGGTGTGGCTCATGATACTGTTTCATGAAAAATATACAACATCATATATAAAAATATACATAATATTTGTAAAAAAAAAAAAAAATTCATAAAAAATAAACAACTACATGATATATTAACATACTGTACATATTAAAATATACAACTATCATGATAATCTAACTTATATAAAATATACCAAATAATAATATATAATAATATCATAAAATATATAAAATAATATCATAAAATATACAAGTTAAAATATCATGATAGTTGTTTTTTGATAATATATTTGTAAATGTTTATACATTTTAAAATATCATGATTGTTGTATATTTATTATATTATTTGCATTTGTTTTATACATGTAAAATATTATGATATTTGAATATATGTGTGTGTATAATGATAGTTGTATATTTTCATGATATTATTGCTTATGTATTTTTCTATATGTTAAAATATCATGATAGTTGTATATTTTTATGTTAATATGCAGTGTTTTATGAAAAAATACAACTATCAAGATACTTAAACATATACAGAAATTAATATAATTAAAACAACTATCATTATATTTTATCATGTATATTTTATGATATTACTTTTGTATATTTATATGTATGTTAAATTATCACGACAGTTAAGAATATATATATATATATATATATGTATATATATTCAACTTTCATATATATTACATTTTTATATTTATGTTACTATATCATGCAGTTGTATATACAGCTATATGTTATATTAAAATACACATATAAAAATTTCATAATATCATAAATCAACTATCATAATAGTTTAACATATAGGAAAATATACAAATATAATGTAGTAAAAATACACCACTACTCAATATAGTAACATATACACAACTATCCTGATAATTTAACATATAAAATATAATATCAAATGAAAAATATTGATGATGTATGAACATTCATATTTGTAGTTTGTGTTTGAAAATTATTAGCTTAACATGCAAACATCAGCATTGATTGATGGAACCAACTGTAATTCTCTGTGTGCTTAATGTGAAGCAGAACACGGAGATGCTGCCTATGTAGGGCACTCAAAATCACACACTTGAGGAGTCTGATCTATTCTAGGTTATACACAAATAAGCTTCTATTTTAGTTTAGATGCTGCCTTGAAAGTTAGCAGCCTATGAAGGCAGTGGACAGCATGTTTGAAACAGCTTCTGTATGAAATCTGTGCAAACATAACCATCAAACAGAGATTTAATAACAATCACACAGAACACACTAAACCGGGTCACAGCGTTTGATTAAACGCCCGTCTCATCTGCTCATCCATCAGTGCAGACTATGATCAACATATGAAAAATGTCATAAAGGCAAATACGAGAAAGTCAAAATATTTTTGAATAAAGTCAAAATTACGAGAATAAAGTTGAAATATTTTGAGAATAAAGTTGAAATATTTAGAGAATAAAGTTGAAATATTTAGAGAATAAAGTTGAAATTATGAGAATAAAGTCAAAATATTTAGACTTTATTTTGAAATATTTTGAGAAAAAAAGTCAAAATTATGAGAATAAAGTCAAAATATTTTGAGAAAAAAAGTCAAAATTACGAGAATAGTCAAAATATTTAGACTTTATTTTGAAATATTTTGAGAACAAAGTCAAAATTACGAGAATTAAATCGTAGCAATTAAAGTAATAATATTTTGAGAGTATACTCTATATTGCACACGCAAATGCTCTCAGCTTTCAAATTGAAAGTTTTCAGTTTTATAGCGAAATAATGCATTTTTCACGCTTTTAAATGTGATGTGACAGATCGCTGTATTCGCCTCAGTTAAAGCGGCATGTGAATCAATCTTTCTGATTACAATGAGACATTTGTTTCATTAAATTAGGCTATATTGTTTTTTTCATGCCTTCTGATGTTCCTTTACGTTTATAACATGCTATAACTTGACATAAACAGGAAAAACACATTTATAATTTGTATTTCGTAATAAAACTGACAGATTTTGAAAGCTGAGACTTTGTTCACAGACCTTATTGCTATTTTTGGGTGGCTGGCGCACTACAAATAATGAATGCAATCGAAGACATTAAATTTTATTTCCAAGCATACTGTCACTGCTAGTATATGACACATGGTATGATTTCTGCTAATAATCCCACCTCAATATACTGTACAATGCGACATACATTCACATCAAATGTTAACTCAGCAGTAGAGTTACACTCACGGGACACTGCACTTATGCGCAATCACAAAACTACATTATTTTCATCTGCTTAAACATTTAATTCACGTGCTGTTCTGACATGCGTTTTTTCTGAGCATAAACACATGAAGCGCGCGCACACCGCACACGAAAACAGCGCTTGATTACTAGACTAAGTTGTCTTTCGCATCTGATTGATTTTGCATCTAATACTGTCAAAACACACAAGGTTTACATATAAACACAGTTAGTTATGTCTAAAGTGAAAGTAAACAGTTGAGAGATGCGTGCAGCTCTTAAAGGGACAGTACTAAACATGCCGCTTGTCATTGAAGGAATAGTTCACCCAAAAATTAAATTTCTGGCATTATTTTTTATTTTATATTTTGTTGAGGTGTAGCAGGTGTTATGTTTCTGCACTCTTCCATTTTTAGCAAACAAAGAAAAAATTAGCTTGTACATAACATGTTTTGTTTAAAAATATTTTTGTGATGGTTTGTATTTTTTGTGCTCTTTGGAACATCAATGTTTGTTTAAGTAATGAACTCCATTACTTGTGTTTGTTTTTAGACATGATAACAGACGTTTTATACTTGTGCTACAACTTTTTGGCCTTTGCTACAAAATTTTCAACCTCTGTAGCACCAGTGTATTATCGAAATATTTTGACTTTATTCTGATAATTTTGACTTTATTCTCATAATTTCGACTATTCTCAAAATATTTAAACTTTATTCTTGTAATTTTTACTTTATTCTCAAAATATTTCGACTTTATTCTCATAATTTTGACTTTATTCTCTAAATATTTTGCCTTTAATTTTGCAATTTTGACTTTTTTCCTCAAAATATTAAGACTTTAATCTCGTAATTTTAGATTTTTTAATTTTTTAATGTGGCACTAAAACGCCGCCAATATATATATTTATTTTTTTCCTTCTGTAGTATCAGGCTCAAGATCTCATGCTGCTCCTGTTCTGAAGATCTAACCCTCTTCAGCAGATCTGAGTGTTTATTAATGATCTCTGCTTCATTTAAGCAGAATCTGAACATACTGTAGCGGCTGAATCACTACAAATCTATTTCAGAATATTATCTATAATGCATTATTCACTGAAACAGAAGCTGTTTTACGTGATGTCACACACTTCTGCTGGACAAACAGAGTTTCTGTGTGTTTAATCTGTTTACATCCAGAACGAGCTAGTGTTGTGTTTCCCTCAGATGAAGATGAAGATGAAGAGCGCTGCATTCATACTGCTGCACACTTGAGGAGGGCAGGAGGATCCGCTGAGAGCCGCCACTGACAGACCGGCTCCTAATGACCCCGCTGAGAGCCGCTGAGAGCCGCAGGGCCCAGCCAGAGAAAGACACCATATGCTGCAGCCCGCCGAGCCAAAACGGCCCTTCAGCAGCTGTTAGAGACCGCAGAGCCACCCAAAATACACCGTCCTGACAGAGCCGAGCCTCTGTGTGTGTGTGTGTGTGTGTGTGTGTGTGCGTGAGTTTGTGTGTCTCTGTGTGTGTGTGTGTGTGC